TCTCTCCTATATTCAAATTTCAGTAGATGAATGCTATACAAATAATTTGGTGTTTTAGGAGCATAGGGGAGAAGAGAAGGAAGGGACAGTTAATTTACTCAACAGGAATTCAGCTGTATTTTTAGCTTTGAGACTTAGAGGATGATATTTATGTAAAGACAGACAGTTGGCATACACAATTGCTCAGTTTCCTAAAATGACAGGAACTTTCAATCTACAGAATTGATTTTTCTGAAGTTTATTTTTTCTGTGTATCTACCATCCAAACTACTTGATAGATGTAACAGAATTAAGGGACAAAACCTTGTATGTTTTGTATGTCAAGTGACAGTGCCTTTTCTGTAGACAACAATTAATTAACAGTTCCATGATAATCTTCACAAAGGCAAAGTCCCAGGAATCCAAATGAACATTAGCAGTACTATACTTCCTTCTAGTGCTATTGCTTATTTATAATGCCTTGTTAATAAAACTGCTTCCACCAAATCCAGTCATTTCAAGTGGTAAAGATGAGGTGTTTCCAGAGGTGTCAGGAGAGAATGCACAGAAATAGATAAATTATAAAAAAATGTATTAAAAAAAAATTACATTCCAAGACCCAGTGGTATTTGCTTAGATGAACAAAATTGGACTTGGAGGAGGATGGTTTCTACAGTATTCTTAAGAAACTTAGCATGTGTGAAGCCATGGTGTACAAGCTCTTAGTCATTGAGGGCTGGACTGGGGTGATGGCTAAAGAAGTAAGCCTTAGAAAATTAACAGGCTATAAATTATAACTTGATGAGGCATCCAATAATTATGCACTTGCAAAAGAAATTTTGTCTTCCAACAATTCAAACGTTTTAGCTTTTTGAGGGTTTTATAAATTAATGTGCCAACTACTTGTGAGGCAAAGCAGAGGTTAGTGGGAGATTCGGGAGGTATAAAATGAGAAAGTGTGAAGAGGGAAAAAACAAGCTTTTTCCAGCTCTTTAATGGTAACAATACTGCATTTGGTAATTACAGTAATGATTAAAGTTACCCTAACATATTGTTCCTACTATCTGATCAGTGTGAGTCTTTCTAGAAATGCATGTCACTAACTGAAATTTCTTTAATAAAGCATAGAAACAGTACTTATTGATAGAGATGTTTTTCTTATTCTCAACAATTTTATTTAATAGAGCATATGATCCCATTTTGAATTGGGATTGCTCCTATATCCCAGCATCAGTCACACAGAGAAGGCCTGTTAGAATTCATTGGTATTTTCTTAAATATAAACCAGATTTTATCATGTGTCACTCAGCAGGAACAGATATTTAATTTTTCTTTTGGGGAGGGTAATTTATTTTTTAAACAATGCTGGAGCCCAATATGCTTTTATCTTCAATTAAATTATCTTAAATCTATTCTGCTTAGGTTTAAATCGTGAATAAAAGGAGTACGTTCCTGAATTCATGTGATGTTGCCTCCAGAGCAGTAGCAATTGAAAGGTGGCTGAATTTTAACTTACGGATTTGTTATTATGGTTACACAAGTTCCTATTCACCTTGTCTAAAAGCTTAACTATGTACCTGAGATTATTTTACTGGTACTTAACATTTCAGTAAAAAGTTTCTTTTTCAGATGGAGTTTAAATTATATATATTTAAGTATTTTTACAGATGGTTATTTTTATCATTAAGGTTTCTGTTTTGAGGGAGTCAATGGAAAAATGTTCACTAAAACAGGTAATCTTTGTAGACATTTGGACTATTATTGTTCTGCCTTTCAAACCTTATTTGAAGAATCTGGAATCAACTTTAATGTCTACAACAAATATAAATACAGTCAATCAAATGTAAGTATGTAAGGCCAAACATATCTGGCTTTAAACTTTTCCTGATGATAAACTCGTTACCGAGTCTTTATATGTATAGTTTACTGTCAGTGTTAAGCTTAAAACATGTCTGAAGTATTCATATTACAGTGGTTTTTTTCCAAGATATTGGTATTTTCTCGATTGCTTTGGGAGAGCCTTCTCCTGCCTGAGGGTTGTGTTATAAACCTGCGCCACAAACCTGTCCAAGAAAGGGCTGATCTACAGCATGGTTTGGCAAGCCTTACTTCTTCCCAGAAAATGCTTGGCTGCAGTGCTTAACAAATTTGCTAGAATGCTGGGTCATAATAAGTTTCATATGGCTGTAGAGCAAGAGCTAGCGTGGGCCTGATTGCGAGGAGGATAATGCACCGACTGCGCTTGATGTAATAAGTAAAAGTAGAATAAGGATATAAATGCTGAGCAACAAGAACTGGGTTCAGCTGAGCCAGTAAGGCTGTAGTGAAACTGAAGGTACGGTAGCTTTAGTTACTGTAAGAAATTGAATCTGGGGCCAGGAACACTACAGTCCAAAAGATGAACTCATCCAGAGTATCAGGCGTCAGTATTATTTGAAAGCAAAGAGTATCAAACAGTGAGTAGTGAACAGCTTTGAAAGTGCTTTTGGCATGAGACTATGAAGGCTAGGCTTGGCGTAAATCCATTTCAAGACACAAACTTACAGTCAGCCTAGAGGTGCAGTAAATATAAACTTTCCAATTTAAGAACTTAAAATAACTTTACACTTGTGTCACCTCCAGATGCCAAACTTGCAAATTTTTCCTTGGTGAACTTTCAGAAAGGAGGAGGATGTAATAGAATAGGCAGTAGGGCTGGTAGTAAAAACAACCTATTGGGATATCAGGGAGGTGTTGGCCACACATCAAAAACCCAATGGATTTCAAAGAGGGAGAGAAAGCCATAAAGTGTTTTTGACTTGGTGTTTATCTAAAGCAATTGCCAACAATAATTAGTGGAGAATGCAATCTTAGCAAGTACTATTCAGATTTTCTTCCTTCAAACCACGTTTTCCTAGTTAAGTCTTAAGAAATAGGTTGTGCTTTCATGTTAGGAATCAAAACACAGATAAAAGTAATGAAGTCACTCTAAATTTTGTAAAGTGGGCTTCGTTAAGTTTCACATACTAAATTCAGGCAATCAGCAGAAAAATGTTTATAAAACATTTTTGTGGATGGATAGGGGCAAGTTCTTAAGAATGTCTTGCAAAGAACTTCATAGAATCATAGAATGGTTTGGGTTGGAAGGGACCTTAAAGACCATCCAGTCCCACCCCCTTGCCATGGGCAGGGCCACCTTCCACTAGCCCAGGTGGCCCAAAGCCCCGTCCAACCTGGCCTTGGACCCTTCCAGGGAGGGGAGTGTTCATGACCTCTACAAAAGACAAACTTTGTTAAAGCACAAAGAGGGACCAAAAGGGAGTATTGAGCCTTTTCATAGTAAGGGCTACATTTAAATAGAGATTTGTCTTATAAATCTCTTCAGATTCTTCCAAACAAGTTGTTCAGCTTACCTGTGGCAAGTCTAGTGAGCAGGTATGTGAAGAAAAAAAAAAAAAAAAAAAAAGACCATTTTGCTTCCCAGAGCTGATGTCATATCCTCTGCAATTTGGATCTACTGCCATTTGTGAAACTTGTTGAGAAAGTTCTACCTCTCTTTATTCTCTTAAAAATAAAACCTATTTTTGAGTTACCTGGTTTTCCCCAGCAGTTGGTTTGATTTTGAGTCAACCGACGTTCAGCAGAAGGCTTCATTGTGTGCGTGTTATAAGCAGGGAACGGTGTAGAGTGGATACCATCCAGATCCTGTTCAATGAGCCTTAAATGTTCTAACCTAAGTGAAGCAAGTACCTAAACATAAAAAATATTTTAATTTGGGGCAGATTGATGCAGTACTTAAAGCTAAGCAATTATACTTACCTGTCCTGTCTCTTCAGTCAGAATAATGTCCTGATGCTGAAAAAAGATTGAGTCTTCACATAGCTGATGTCCCCAAATGTTGATGCTCTAGTAAGCATCTCTTCTCTGTTACTATTTGAATTTACATGGTTCTGTTGTCAAACTTGTAGTTCAGATTCTGTGTTTAAGTTGACTCTTGCATTGGGGCTTTTAAAAACTGAAGTTCAGAAAAGTCCAAGATGTCTTTTACCAGTATTTTGTAATAATTTTATTAATTTATCCTACAATGGCCTCAGGTGTGTGGCATGTTCTCTGACACTCTTTGAAGAGTTTTCTAGCACTGTAGAGCCAATTTTTCTGGCACGCAGCAGCTATATAACATTATTATTCAGCAATAGTAGCATCAACTGGATTCATAAAAACAAGGAAGTTTTAACTTGTTCAACGACGCTCTTATGGGTATGATTCTGGTTAAATTAAGTCACAAGGGGTCTGTAGATGAGGTTAATAAGATTCAACTATGGTGTGTGTATCTTTGAAAGCCTGAGGAATTAGGTCGTGCCCACCCAGCTAGTGCTTGCACTGCTAACCCTGCTGGTCTGCAGAGCTCGGGGGTCAGACTTGAAGGACGGGCATGTGTTTGATGTCATTCTAGTGGAGAGTGAGGGCTAAAAGATGGGAGCTGGAGGGCCAGGGAGTTTCACCTGGGAAGGCAGTTTATTGCCTGATGCTTACCTAAGGCAAACAGTATAGAGGCTTCTTGCTGGTTTTAATACACTTTTCCCAGCTGGGGAAGGGGGAGTGCTCTGTGCTGGTGGATTTTGCAAGCACTGTAGTAATTAAGTGCAGTATGGCAATAACAGCAGGTCTCCTCTGGTCGGTTGTGTTTGAAAGTATTTCCCAGATAGTTTCACTTCTGGCAGTGGGCTCCAGCGAGCATTAAATGAATGCAAGCTAGAGGTATTTTCAGAAATGCTATATATCACCATCAGAAATGTGTGCTGCATGGTTTATTTTTTTCACACACCACAAATACAGTTAATTTGCAAGATAGGTTTTGTTTTCAGCCATGATTCAAGAAGACTGCTCTGTAAATCAGCTCTGCTTTCATCTGCTCTTCATCTGCAGATTAGTTTTATTACTTCATCCAGTTTTCATTATGCATATTGGAGTTAGTTGCATAAATTAAGATCACGTGGACAGTATAGATAACCATTTTTTGTGTTTTCTGACTCTCTTTGCAGTTGATGAAGGTCGTCTTAAGGAACTGGGCAGAGTGAGAGTACTCCACAAGAGAACCATCATGCCTTACAGTGTGTATAAGAAAGGAAGGAAGGGGCCAAGCGACGAAGCCAGCGTTCAGCAATATGCAAGTTTGGTTGGACAGACCTGTTCAGAAAGAATGTTGCTATTTAGAAGTTGAAAAATCATTAAATGGCATTTTGATGGCGCTACATTTTATTGCACTGCCACTGGATGATATGTACTATAGTTTTGTGTTGGTATGCCTACTCAACTAGCCGTATGAAATACAGGTATATATCTAGGCTTGTGTGAATACATGGTACTGTGTTTAAAGGTCAACTCCAATAAAACTTACAATACAGCAAGGCTTTAGCAATATAAGTTTAGAAAAACATGCTTGCAATATATTTTAATTAAGTAGTTCTAGCCTTTCTATGCATTTTGAATAATTCTGAGTATCTAAGCAAAATGAGAAACAGGTGTCTTTCTTGTACAGACAAAGGTCGACTAAATCTAAATTAACAATAATTAAATTACAAATGTTTTCAAATAGCACCTTGATTATCTGTTGTTAAAAATTGCCGTGAAATTTATGCCTGCATTTGTATGCTCCGAAACTCTTGCAAGAGAATTGTAAACTTGCTGTTATTTTCTAATGTGAAGTCTGGTGTGGTTTTAATTTTATTTCAGTAGTATATTTAAAAATAAGAAGAAGTTATTTTCGCTGCACATTCTTCATTTGTTTAAAGCAGTAGGTTAGTGTCAGGTCCTAGTGAATGTAGGAGTTCATAGTAGATTCTCAGTGGCAGGGGATGCAGTGCTTTGGAAAACTTTCCCCTTTGGAGATGAAACAGAATAGTTGCACTATAAATATACCAAAGATATGCAGCCAAGTGGCACAGTGGGTTTTTGGTATAAGCCTTATCCTTTGCCTAAAAAGAATGGGTATTTTAATGCATATCGCTAATGTGAAATAGAGCTTGGAAGGTTTATCCTATAGCTCTTCGGTGCACATTTCACAACTATACTAAAAAAAGACATGAGGTACCACTGCTGGGTTCTGTTGCAGTTTTTTTTCTGCAGAATTTTATGGGGAGACTTCAGTATCATATTCCTGCACTTTGTTACAGACTGTTTTGTTTATGGTGCAGCAGCTCACAGGTTAACATCTTTAATAACATTTTACTAAATAATTCTGTTGGAAACACAGAAAGTTGTGATGCTTTATGAAAGCACTTTATTATCTGATACATGAGCGTTGTCAGTAGTAGTCTGTGTCCCCGTCAAATCGTACAAGTTATAGGAAATCTGGGAAATAACATGGTTGTATAATTCAGTAATGTATTACAAAATCCTAACATTACCGATGCATTTGTGTTTCTTATCTTCTTGGATAACAGGAGCTCGTATTTGCCTTGAATCAACTTGAAGTTCCCTGTTAAACTTTGAAGAAAGATTTTTGTTCAAGAATATCTGTCTAGGTGAGGTGTTTTTCCCCAGAAAGGAACCAAATTCAGTTTTACCCTCTGAGAGGTGCATCTCCTACCATGCATGGGCTTGATTTAATTTTAAACGGCCAGTCTTACTAATCACTGATTTTTATGTGGAAGAGACATAAGAATTTTGGGATTCAAGTGCATTGCAGATTTCACTTTTTTTTTCATATCTGTTTGATCATTGTAATATTATTGATATAGAGTACATCTTCAACAGTAATTTTTAAAAATAATTTTATATTTTATTAATTGGGATGTATTGTATTTATCTACTCCCAGTCTGCAATAAAATCGGTTATTTCTGTTAACATTATATCTAGTATGTATTTATCTGTTGCCCGGTACCAAGAAGTTTCTATATACTATACAATCTAGTTTGTCCATGTCTTATCTAAGGCTATTGCCACAGGAGAACCACTAAATGCTACTTATGAACATTATTATCAACAGTTCCTTTCTGTGGAGAAAATACTCTCACCGCTCAGTGAAATGTCAAATAGCATAACAGTTTCTGCCTGCACAATGTGTTGAAAAGCAGCAATGCCCATACGGCTGAAAACCAAAATAAATGAGAAAACCTTTTTATATGATATAAAATCAGTTTGTGGACACAGAGGAATTCCAGCATGACTTGCAAAATCTTAAAGATTATCAAAACCACTTAATGATGGCCTCGCAGTGCTCCTGGAGAAGTTAAAGTTTCTGTTAAATTGCAAGAGAGCAGCCTTACTGTCACCACGGAGATTTCTTGAAGAGCTCCATCTTTTTGTGCCCACTATTTGTTACTGATTTGCCTTCTAGATATGTATTAGACTTTTATCTGATGCTCTGTTTCTCATGGGGAGCTTTTAAGGACTGCAGTTAAGGAAAAGTGAGATAAATATAAAATTGAAAATAGAGTACAGCTTGATGTTGTGGTTAGTGTGACCACTAAAAGTCAATGACCATTTCCTGTGAATTCTGAAATGGTGCTTTCACCTTCTGACCTCCACTTGAACTGCAGCACCACGGCATGCTGGGCTTCTGACTCTTACTGAACTCAAAAATATATATATATATATATATATATATATATATATATATACACACACACATATAAATATATATATATATTTATCTTAAGAAAATGACAACATTGAGATTAACTCAGAAATTGAGTTCATCTCATGTAGTATGCTGAGATCTGACTCGCTTCTCTAGTGCTATTTAGAGGAAATTGTGCAGTATTTTTCAGGACTGATACCTCTATCCCTGGTTTAAAAGTGGAATAGAGTCTGAGGATGAAGTTCTGTAAATTTTGCCATTGACTTCAGTGGAGGTGAAAATTCACCACTACTACAATTTAATTTAATGAGATGTTGTAATGGAGAATTATTGAATTTCAGGAGACATGATTTAGTACAAACTATTTTATAAGAATTTTTTTAGTGTAGTTTGTGAGACTTAATCCCTAAAGCAAGGTTGCCTTGTTCTATCATCTGTTGATAAATGAGTGTAAAAAGGTGGTAAGAAAATGCAGAGCTGTAACCAATGCTAAAAAATACCATTCTTTGTTTTAATTGGAAATAAATGGGGAGCTTACTCATTTCCAGCATCAACACATTTCAGTAAATGCAAAAGAACCCACATGTGGAATTTGTAATTGCTTTTCAGCAGGCCTGTTTGACTTGTAAGTATAGAAAATAAAGTTATTTCTAGTCTCCGTGAATTATCATAAGTAATAGCTCCAATTGTGACTTCTGTATTACTTCATAGGAAATAATTTTCTTGGAGGTTGACTAAGTAAGTGTCCAGTGAACAGCAAAATCAGGGCAGTCAAAGAGTAGCAGTGATTAGAAGGGATACCTATCAGTTCAAAATACATCACCATATTTTAGAAAAAAATTTCAGTTCTGGCTAGACTGATTAATGAAGAGTTTATGCTTTGAAACAGAATTTATAATTCTCTTGTGAATGGGATGGAAAGGAATGACTGGAACAGAACGAACGACCAGAATGGGACAGAACGACCAGAATGGGACAGAACGACCAGAATGGGACAGAACGACCAGAATGGGACAGAACGACCACAGAACGACCAGAACGGGACAGAACAACCAGAACGGAACAGAATAGGACGAACAGAACAGAATAGAATGGGACAGAATAGTACAAATAGAATAGAAGGGAAGAGGCTTTTCACAAATGGAGACTAGAGAGGACTAGCTATTTATTTTAGTTAGGCTATACCATTTCTAGTTGGTTGAAAAAAACCCTTTCTCTGAAGTAAGCAGCCAAACAAGCAACGCAGAAGGCTGAATTATGTGCACAAATACAACCAAGCCTTGATTTGATTTCCTGCTGAATGAAGCAGAATTCCAGCTAATTCTGGATTCCTGAATGAGACTTTTGTTGAAGCCCAGTGCCTCCGTGGCTTGAAATGTTGGTGTGTCAAGGTGATCCAGTGCACAAGGCACATCAAAACTTCCTGGGAGTGTTTATTTTTTCTGTTTCATTGCTCCTTTGGAGTCTACATCCATTGCTTTTTTAGAAGTGCTGTTAATATCTTTGCCAGGTGATCATTCTGAAGCTACCAGCCTGAGCAGACATCTATTTAAGAATTCCCTCTCGTTCTGGTTGTCCCAGATAATCCTTCAGACATGTATGATGTGCTCTCCTCATCAGCCTTTCCATCTTCATCCAGGGTTTAATGGCTCTTCTTGCTTGTTCTACCCCCGTCCTGCTACAGGAACAGTCTGCATTTGGAAAGGTGTAGGCAATACTTAGGGCAGAAATCATCACCACATTTCAGGGAGATCATCAGCGTTTCCGTAAGCATCTCAGGCACATATCATACCCAATATATTTATAAAACTACACCTTCAAAACCTCTTGCATATATGATCTCACGTACTGAGCTTAAAGCGAGATTACGTTTTCATTTGCCAAATGATTGAAGTTTGTCAAAGTGATGGAGAGCTTCCAAGCCCTGACTCTGTGGCTGTCCTTAGGAGGGTGGTGAGCTGTGTCCCTCCGTCAGGCTTGAGCATCAGCTGAGTAAGGCGCTACAGAGAAGACACCGAGGAAGGGCTGGCGATGACCCTGCGTGGCAGAGAGGAGCTGAAGGCGGCTGCTGGTCAGGGGAGCGTTAACAGGTAAGTAGCCACGTCATTTGCCTTTAGTTATGAGACAGATACTAGTCTCGCTGGTGAAATAAAAATGCGCTGTGGAAAACAAATTGTATAAATAACACCATTTATACGTAGTGTTAACCATGCATGTTAACCATGGCTGTTAATAAAATCAGTATACCAGCTAGGTTGATTATAATAAGCTCTTTTTGTATGGATTTTTTGGAAAAGCACAGTGACTTAAGTTGCCAAGTATACGAGCACTCACTAAACAGAACGTTTTGTGAATAGAACTGCTTAAGTGCAAAGATAATGGAAAGTGTTGAAATACGTTGTATAAACCAACACAGATTTACAGGAACGGACGTACAGTAGTAACTCATACTAAACATAGTATCCAGGTGCTAGCTGTGGTCAGTGGATTCCTAAATAAAATAGTATTCTATAACTGAATCTACTATATGCATTTGATAGCACAGTTAAAGCTCATCTTGTGAGAGATGTGTTTTATAAATGCGTTAAATGAACAGGAATATAAATAGATGAAATTAGCATATAAACCTAAGTATAGCATATGTTAATGCTATCTATATTAATATGAAACACTTTAACTGAAAACAGTGGCTCTTTCTGATCATTTTAGACAAGTAACAGCTCAGAAGCTTTCTGGCTCTATCTCTTCATGGTTATGTTTTACTGTTTTGATGTTTGTTTATTCATTTCCTTATTATAACTATTCCCATTAGATTTTTTGTTCTTCCCATCAGTTATTTCCACTTTGCTTTTGACACATAATACATGTGTCTGCCAGAAGTCCTGCTGAGAGATTGCTATCAGGACAAAAGAAAGTGTTAGAAAGTCTGTTAAGTAGTGAGAAGAGAGCAGAGTCCACAGGGACAGTCAGTCTGCAACCTTTGTGCTGTAGAAAAAGCAGGATTTATTTACAGTTTAGTCTGCTGCAGGCTTTAAAATAAATGTGTCAGATTTCATTCATTTCCCTTTGTCTGTGACATCTGATTGTTGTTGTCCAGGAAGAATCAATGAAGCATTGTAGAATATTAAAAAAAAGAAAGTATTAGTTAAGGTCAGTATACTGCATTTATGGCAAAAAGCATGAGTTAAGGAATGAATTCTGTGGAAATTCTCACTTGATGTCTACACAGGAGCCGAAATGTGTAGGCTGGATGGGACTTTGAAAAACTGTTGCTTCTCCACAGTCTTCTCCAGGCTGAGAGCTGAGAGTTATCCACCATCCCTCACGGGGCTGAACCTCACTGTTTGCATTAATCTCTAGCAAAGGCAGTTCGGTAAGCTCCTCAGAGTGATTTTCTTCAAGAAACAGGATCCTTGTTATTGAAGCTTTTCAATATCTGGTATCTAATTTTCATACTTTTGGTTGCAGGTGAACCTGGTTTGGTTTGTCCTACCTGAACATGGAGAGCGATCACTGAGGTTCCTCTTTTTAACAGCTCTAGACATTTTTGAAGACTGTTGCCAAGTCAATCTGCTGTTTGGTTTGTTTTTGTTTTTTTTTTCTAAGCTAACCGATCCCAATTGCCTTCCCAATTAGGCATGTTTTTAAGCTATTTTATTGAGCTTTCTTAAGCATTCCCCCATCGGTCTGCTTTTTTTAGTGTGGTGCCCTAGTGCTAGCTGCTCCAGTAATCAAAGTAATAATTATTCCATCAGCAAATAAATGTTGCCTTTTCAAAATAATAATTTTCACTATCCTAACTGATTTTTCTGTTTCACAAAAATCCATATTTTCTGTTTATCTACCGCACTTCAGTAAAATACAGTGAAGAACCGACCCTTACTATACCAGCAAGCATAATTTTTCTCTCCTTAAATGCTCTCAACCTGCCGCCACCAGAGGGCATGTTCCAGCTTGCCAAATTCAGCAAAGCATTCCTCTTCTTGTCTGAGTAGCCACATTTTCTGGGTCTTTTATTAGCATCTTATTCTGAGTTTTAATTTTTTACTCTGCTCTTAATTGCGGTATATCAGAAAAAAAAATAATATTGTTGGGTAGGGTTGACAAAGTTCTGTGCTTGATTAGTTGAATGCAGCACAGATTTGTTGAAAATCAGGATTAAAAGCTATTTCAAGAGAAATATTCTAGATTTTCTAACACTAGATTTATTAGATACATTATACTACCAGTATATTACTGAAATGAAAATCCATAGAGCACTTAAGGAGAGGCCAGACAGCAGTTACCTGTCTCAAAATGCTTTTGATGCTATTTCTTTCCATGTTCCTATCAAACTGTGCAGTGGGAGCATTAATAATGTCTAATAGACTGTTTATTGTGTGCATTTTGACAGATGTTCTATATTTCTCACTGGGATTGCAACAACTAAATCAGTGCATCTCAAAATGAGACCTCAGAAAACGAACAAAATGTGCTTGCATCTTCTGGTGCAAGAGAGGTGTGTGTTGTGCTCTGACAATTAACTTAGTAGTTGCACTTTCAGTTAGCGACTGATCTTTAAACCAAACACAAAATTTTCTTTAAAAACCTCAGTGTTCATTTCACACCTGCCCCAAAACCAAAGGAAAGATCTCTTGTCCATAGATGTCAGATGTCTTGGCGAGGCTTCTAGTGCATTGATTGTGAAAGTTTAAAAAAAAAAAATAAAAAAAATCACATTATTTGCTTTCTTCTTATCTGTCTTTTGTTTTCGAGCTAAGTTATTTTAATACCAGGATTTCTTTCTCAACTACGCAGGGAATAAAATTATGTTGAAATAAAGCTTCGAATAGTGAACTTAGTCAGGAGACTGCAATGCTTTTCTTTATTGCCAAGGGCATTGCAACCCATTTGTTTTGTGAATATATTAGTCTCTATTGCTCAAGATGAAAGCGGTCAAAGACAGTTGAAAAAACGGGATTCCTGATTTTAAATTATTTTTTTTTTTTCATACAAATATATTATTGCAGTGCCTAGAAACCTGGAAGAGGCTTT